AGAGAGAGAGAGAGACAGAGAGAGACAGAGAGAGAGAGTTACGCCATACAGACACATTCACAAATGTACAGTACAAAACAGTGCCACAGTATTACTGTGTTTTTGAACATGCTCATGAAAGACCTTGCAATAGGGCTAAGCGAAATACACAACCATTCAAAAGTTTGGGGTTGGCAATGCTTTCGAAAGAAATCTTACTAAAGCTGCAGTTATGTGATAGAAAAAAATTATAAAATCAGTAATATTGTGAAATATTATTACAATTTAAAATAAGTGCTTTCTATTTGAATATATTGTAAAATGTAATTTATTTCTGTGATCAAAGCTGAATTTTCAAAGCCAGTCTTCTGCGTAACATGATCTTCAGAAATCATTCTAATATGCTGATTTGCTGCTCAAGAAACATTTCTGATTATTGTTTTGTACTTTTTTCTGGATTGTTTAATGAATCGAAATAACAGCATTTATTTGAAAAAGAAAGCTTTTATAACATTATAAATGTTTCTAATGTCATCAATTTACTGCATCATGCTGAATAAAAGTATAATTATAATAATAAATACACAAACCCCAAACTTTTCAACTGTGGTGTGGTTTTTTTTCCCCTCTTTTGATGATATTCAATATATATATGTTGATATATATTGTATTTGCTGTAAAATTACTCAAGGGTGATTTTTTCTTTTTTATATATGAAGAACCATTTCAACCAAACAGACTTTGACAAACTGATTTAAAATATTTGAGGAAAGAATTAAAAATCATCTTTTCTACACCGTTTTTCACTAAATGAACAAAATATGTGATATTTTATTTTAATTTTCATATGCAAATATACCAGTGCACGGAAATACACAGCACAATGTACCTACTTGTTACTTATGTGATACTTTGACTTAATACAATATATAAAAAAATAATATTTTTAATTAATCATTATTAGTATTATAAATAAAAATAATCATATTTAAAACAATCAATATATTAAAAATGCCATTCAGACACAGACTACAAACATATGACCGATTCAAGTTTTGAAAGAGCCAGTTTCAAAAGGTTCATGGAAATGAATCAAACTCAACTCTGTTATAAACACATCTCTTAGCAGCATATAAACACTCTCATCCAGTGACATATGAGACAAGAAATTACAAAATGCATCTAGTCGAATGACATTTCACCAACCTTACTGGCCAAAATCATCATAAAGAAACAGTTTAATTTTTAATAAATGAATATTTGATAAATTACCCAGCTCTACCTTACAGTACTATGTAATAAATACTATGGCATAACCATTCCTCACAGTCTGATGCCTGATACATTCATTGCATCAGAATAACAGCGTGCTACTTCACATAAGAGCTACATCTCACATGAGGGGATCCTGTGGAAATAAAACACCGTAATCACGAGTGATGAAGATGAAGCTTACAGCCTCGGTCACTCAAACGCTGTGTGTGTGTGTAACTCAGAATCAGTGCTTGGATGAGGCTAAATATAAACACATCATTCAGACACATTACACTCGAGTGCTATTCAAACCCTCCTAACCGTCAATCATGCACACACACACACACACACACACACACACACCACACGCACACACACACGTACACACGTACGCACACGCACACACACACACACGCACACACACACGTACGCACACGCACACACCAGTGTGTTTCCAGTCAGCCCCTCCAGGAGATCGAGGAGTTTTCTGCCGTCTCTCAGCTCAGAGAACATGTCTTTGATGGGCACCTTCCCCGTCTGCAACACATAACAGTAAAGTAACGCTAGTTAAATTCATTGGTCAAGTTCTTGGTTCTAACGGATGAATCCATTAATTTAATAAAATTATACTTTAAAGAATATTTGTGTCCTTTATATTTCCCTCGTGTGGTAGGCGTTTTATAAGACACTGAAGGTCGAGCTGTGTTGTTAATACAGTCTCTGCATGTCACGCCTAACAAGCACTTCAGTGCTGACTATATTCACGATATACTGAAGAGGAGGAGCCTTGAGTGCATTCCTGCTTAAGGGAAGAACACAACAGTTTCAGATCTCCGGCAGAACGTGAGTGGTTCTTCACGAGACGCCACTCTGAGATCAGCCATCAAAGCGGAAGTTCAGAATTTCAGCGTGAGCTCTGCCGGCACCGTTACCTTGGAGAACTGCGCGTTGATCCACTTCGTGAAGGTTTTTTTCTGTACGGCATCATGTTCGTCTGAATATGAAAGACAGAGGAGGAGAGAGAGAGAGAGAGAGTTTTATAGCATGTGGCAATACAGTAAATGTTCATGTGTGAATGAGCGCATGACACAAACACTGTTGAGATCTGCAGACACTCTCACTTCCACAAACTAAAAAAAGAGCAACTGACACACAACAATTCTGATAATTCAGTTTAACTGAATAAAATGGCCATATCTTGTGTGTTTAGTTTAATTCAGGGACAAATCCTTAGTAATCAAATGGATATCAATATTGGAAGCGGATTCCCAACCTGAATGAGTTTCTTTCCTCTGTTGAACACAAAAGAAGATATTTTGAAGAAAGTTGGTAACTAAAACGTTGCTGGTAGCCATTGACTTCCACAGTATGAAGAAAAAGTGGATGGCTACCAGCAACTTTCTTCAAAATATCTTCTTTTGTGTTCAACAGAGGCAAGAAACTCATACAGGTTTCAAGCAAATGATGAAAGAGTGTTCGTTTTTGAGTGAACTGACCCTGTAAATATCATGGATAATTTTATTATGCTTTCAGTTATTTCTCTCCGCTCTGCTTAATTACATCCACTCCACACAGTCCTGCAGATTTTCCACCCTGCTATTTCCGTGTGGGTCTACTCTTAACTAGAGGCCTTTAAACGAGTTACTCATTGACAGACATCTTTTAAATTGCAAGAACCTTGAGGTGTAGGTTAAGTAAGGGACCAATAAGATGCTTTCTTGTAACTGTCAAAGCACAGCAGCAGAGGCGGAGTCTGTCTAACGCAGGATCAGATCAAAACATTACAGCATTAGCGTTACATTGTGTCTGTAGTTCATATATCCCTGTTCGAATCCACACAGAGCCTGTGTGAGATCCTATTACTGAGGGACAAGATTCCCACACACACACACACACACACACTCACACACACACACACACACGCACACACACGCACGCGCACACACACATGCGCACACACACATGCGCACACACACACGCAAAAGAGTGTTCAGAACAAAAATCACTGTGTAACCAGCGTGAACCAACAGGGATCAAAGGTTAAGACCACCAGCCTGCCGGGTCGCCTGCTCTTTTGAGTGAGTGAGTGAGTGAGTGAGTGTGTGTGTGTGTGTGTGTGTGTGTGTGTGTGTGTGTGTGTGTGTGTGTGTGTGTGTGGATTATGGACAGGAAGTCAGGAATGCACTGCAGGCTACAGAGATGGTGTGAAGGAGAGTTTGTACACCACACACACACACTTTCTCTCTCTCACACACACACATACATACACACACACACACACACACACACACACACACACACATAGCAGTGAGAAACACATCTATCACACACAGGAAAGAACTGATCATCCTCACTATCAACAATGCAGTCATCTCTACTCACACTCTGCACAAGTGCTGCATATGTGAATCTCATAAATACGGTCAAAAACATATTTGGGTTAGTTCATAGTAGAAACATTTATGAGAAAACAGGACCTTTTTTTTTTTGGGATTGCAACATTTTCATGACCATTCACAAGCACGTATGCCTCACAATTCTCAATGTAATGATAAAAAAAACTTCATTCTCATCATGTAATTAAAACTGATTAGTATTGAAACTAATATTCTCATTATTATGTTAAAGGGGTCCTATTATGCTTTTTCACTTTTTCAACTTTAGTTAGTCTGTAATGTTGCTGTTTGAGCATAAAAAGATCTGCAAAGTTACAAAGCTCAAAGTCCGCACACACTGGCCCAGCTAACCAATCACAACACACACTGGCCCAGCTAACCAATCACAGCACATTTCGTATTTCAGAAGGCGGGCCTTCATTTGATACAGGAACTTTTCGAGCCGTTCATGCCAGACTGGGGAGAGAGGTCTTGTAATAATGTAAAATATGTGAAAAATAATGTGTTTTTCGAACAACTTAGTATGAGAGCCTGTTCTAGTACACCCCCAAAACAAAATCATGACTTTGTAAAAGAGCATAATAGGACCCCTTTCAAAAAAATCTAATTCTCTTTTCCACAATGTCATAAAAATCTCATTCTCATTACATAATCTAAAAATAACAAATAAAAACATCACCTTCACATCAGTGTGATGCAAAAATAAAAATCTCATTTTCATTGAGTAATGCAAGCAGAAAAATCTAAAGCAATAAAAAATATATATTGTAAGGGTATAACAATGTGTCACAATGTATTCACAATACTAAAAATGCAACAATAAAAAAATAAATAAAATAAACGTTAAAGGTATGTTATCAGGGAAAGAGTGAAAACATTTAATCTAACATTATTCTGTATTTTTAGCCAACCAGAATGATACTTTTTTTTTGTGATGTCACCATTGGGGAAGACGGACAGGGCTTGAGTAAGGAGCCTTTGGCTCCTATAAGCAAAAAACATAGGCGCCAAAATATATTTTTTTATGTGCCACAGAATAAACATGTTTTATTTATTTTATTATTATTATTGTTTATTTACTGTTTTACATTTTAACATTTCAATCATACTGTCATATGTTTATGTCTCATCTTTTCTTGACTTTATCAGCAGTTTAATCCATCTTGTAGATGATCTGGGAACTAAGGTTCACTAACTTGAAATATACAGTCACAAAGAATTGTTCATTACACAGAATCTGTACCAATATCATGGACCATAAGCATCACTTGGCCACTGAATGTAGTTTGGGCTCCTCCTCAATGCATCCTGTAAATGTTGTCATATGTCTATAGTAGTAAAGAGAATGGGTTCACTTGCCGCTTGAACTCAGGCGCTAAAGCGATCACGCCTGCTGCATTAAAGAGCGCCAAACCCGTATTTATTATTTGAATTTCATTATATATTTGGGATAATTTTAAAGCTGATACTTTGTTTATTAAAACGTAAGAAAGCACAAAGCTTTTTTGCGATTACTGGACGGCAAGTTCGCTTCAAATAATATGAAGTTCACGCATTAACAGAACACAGCATATAGACTAGGGGTGGGGGAAAAAATCGATACAGCATAGTATCGCGATATTTTCCGCGGCAATACTGTATCGATACACGGACGCCAAGTATCGATCTTTTATTATACTATTTGGTAGAATAATAAAATCAATTTATTTACAATCCACTAGATGGTGGTGTTGAGTTTTTTTCTGGTGAGGTCAGCTGGGTCACCTTCAGCATGCAGTAAGTTAGTAAAATAAAGAGGGCGGCATGGGGAAAGTTATCAGGAAAGCCCCGTCCGCGTTTAAATCGTATGTATGGACTTACTTTGGATTTGTAAACAAGGAGGGGATGTAAGTAGGGATGCACCGAAAATATAGGCTACATATAATAATAATAATAATAATAATAATAATAATATATATGTCGCGCCCCGTCTCGCCCCACCCCGCAGTGTTCAGCGCGCATGTTTCACTCTCCTTGTCACTGCGCGGTTTGATGCTCCGCTCAGTATTCAGCTCTATGAAAGTGCATTCCGCTCGTGTACCGCTCATGCTCATCGGAAAAGCAAAGTCTGTTCAAATAACGCGCTGACAGGAAATTTCTAAGCAGTATAGGCCTGCTTGTTCCGGTTTGCAGTAGCGCTACTGTGCTGTAACATGGTGTAGGCTAGTTCAGCTGTACTGGGCAATGTAAAGTGTTACCAATATTAATATCAATTCTGTCCAGTTTTATTGTGTTACTTTCAGTAAAAGTGTGGTTATTTTATTGGTTTGTGTTTTCTTAAATTCAGTATCATTAAAACTGAGTTAAATTTAAAAAGTCTTACAAAATTACTTTATATTATTTAATAAAATAATAAATATTCATTACAAAGCATTTTCGGTTTCGGTTTTCGGCCAAGTGCATCCAGAATTTTCGGTTTCCGTTTCAGCCCAGAATTTTCATTTCGGTGCATCCCTAGATGTAAGACTACATGGAATGCCAAAGCTGACTTAATTAGAAATAAATAAATAAATAAATGTACAAAGACATGTAAAAAAGCAAATATAAATAAAAAAAAATATATATAAATAAATATACAAAGTAAAGTAAAAAAGCAAAAATAAATAATTATTTATAAGTTTATTTCCTTATTTATGTATTTTTTTATTTTTTTCCACATTTATTTTTTCTTTTATTTATTTATACATTTATTTATTTCCATAATACTTTTATTTGATTTTTTTAGAGAAATGTTGTTTTATAGAATAGCTAGGGTATTCGTTATGTTCGTATATTGCTTATTGACGAAAATTCATTAGCCTAGCCTATTTGTTATTACAACTTGTAATCAAGAAAAAATATTTCACAAAATTTCAAAATGAATGCTTGCTGAATGATATTTGACAGTGAACGCATCTCCACTGCATAGCCACATACAATCGTTGGTGTCAGTCGCAAATATTAAGCATGTTTTAGCTAGCTCCGTTCCCATGGACACCTTTTGTTTGATCTGGATATTTCCCACGTAAGACGTGTGATTAATCCGTATCTAAAGCCGTGTCTACATGCGGTGACTAGGCTTGCCGCGATAGACGGTGTTGACCGTGTTAAGCCGCAACACCGGTTACGTCACTTGCCCACCGCGGCACCGACCCCCACCGTCGTTTTGATTATTTATAGCAATAAAAATAATTTAGTTCAGTAAAAGAACAGACAGGACTAAGATCTTGATAAGAATAAGCCATATTAGTAATGATTATAAATGAGAATTGTTAACGATATTGCCAATATCCACATAGCTGACAACTCTACCCGTTGTAGTTTGTTCAAGTTGTGCACGAAATAGACGCTGCTTTTGTGCACTTACACTTCGCACGTCTCCGTCATTTCGATCTCTCTCGTGCCGCTCAACTGAGCTGCGTTTAGCAGGTCTGTGTCAGCGCTGCTGTGCGGCAGAGATGAGGACTGTTTTAAACTCTTTTTAACACCAAATTTAGCTTTTTAACGAACAGTACTTTTTGTTATCAAGTGCACCATTTTGATTTTGTTTGCACGATTCTGAGAATATCATATCATGAGA